GGGGGGGGTTGGGGCGCAAACGGGCCTAGTGAGGCAAGAGGGGGAGGTGTGGGAGAGGGTTCGAGGGGGGGAGCTGCGTTGACATTGGCTGCAGGCGCCAGGCTGGGCTGGCGGCTGTGCCAAGCGGCCGCTGGCAAACGCGCAATCGCGCCGCGCGCATGCGCATGCTGGCCCTGCAGCCGTGCGCTCTCACAAGCGCGTGCGGATGCAGTTGAAGGCGCATGCATGCAGGCACGCGCACGCGGCTGCACGCAGCTGCATGCACGCGCATGTGCGTGCCATGCGGCGCGGCATGGCACCGCACCTGCCGCGTTGGTGACCAAGGCCAGCCCAAACACCGCCGGCGCTGTCAGCATGAGCAGCGCCGCGGCGCTCGCCCTCGGGCCAAACGCGTCCGTCAGCGACCCTATGAGGATCCGCGACCCGATCGCGCCGCACACTGACGCGATGCCGGCGTTGCCTACGTCAGTCTGCGTCAGGTTGAGCTGGTCGCGCAGGATTGGCAGCAGCGCCGCCGCCGCAAACGTTGAAAAGAAGCAGAGGAAGAAGGCGACCGTGGAGACGTGGAACGCGCGCATGTGGGGCCGCGCGGCCGACAGCAGCTTGAGGCGCGTCGCCTTGCGCTCAGAGTCGACGGGGAGCGCGTAGGTCGCGCCCTCGGGCGCGCTGTGCCACTTGACGGCGGGCGGCGCGGCTGAGGGGCCTGGGCGGCTGCCGCCGCGGCCGGCAGCGGCCGTCGCTGAGTCCTCGTTGTCGCCGCCGCTGCGCTGGGGCCATTGCGTGTGCGTTGAGATGGATACCTCCCCAGGGGCCGCCATCTGAAGTCCCACGCACCCGGAGGGCCGCTCAGCTGCACCCCATGTCGATCACGTGCTGCGCCTCGTCGGCGCACATGGGGGCCGGTCGCCTCGCTCCGAGCCAGGCGGGCAGCCGGTGCTCGATACGCTAGTTGCTTGTTTGCCACAGGAAATAACCTTTTGGGCGACTGCCGGGAGCGCCAAGGACCTTTATTGGCGTGCGGCTCCGGCGCCCCGATCTGATGTCGTTGAGAGTCCTAGAGCACACGGTTATAGCTATGGATTGTCCTACGCGCGTATGCCGCAGGTTGGCTGCTCAGGGGACACATGCACTTTGCGGTGCGCCAGGGGGTCGCTGGTGTTCATTTTATCAGTGAAACATGGGTCCATTCAATCGGGCACAGACCATATGACAGGCGCTGCAGTGCTGGACTTCCCAATGCATCACAGCCCTGGCCGCCCCCACATGTCCAAGATGCCATCTCGAGCCCATGTGCAATGCTCACCTACGTTTGGGCTTAGCCAGGGCTAGCCAAGCAGCCCTTGCTGCAGGTCGACCTGCATACGCAAAACGCTGAGTTGCTGCTAGTGCTGCTATGATTGGGGTGCGCATGGCCCGTAGTGCCCCTTTGAGAGGGCCGCTTTTGCTACGCGCAACCTAGGTGTCACCCCAGGGACACCAAGCGAGCCCAAGGCTATCACTGGGCGCATCTTGCGATGCCATTCAAAACTTGCTGGGTGCCCCTGCGGACACCCAAACACTGTTGCTGTAAAAGCCTTGGGGCAGCCGTGCTACCGGCGCCGTCCCATGTCGCATGGAGCATCACCTCGTTGCTCCTGGACCTGCCCCTGCAAGAGGGCTGGCTGCATCCAGTTGAACACAAGTGCTGCTCACCATGTTGGGGCGCACCATGTATACGACAAGGGTATCATTAAACCAACACAGCTTGCGCACATTATGCTGCCGACAAGGCCTCAGCCCTGCCCCATTGCTTGGCTGGAATCCTTATCACCAGGTGAGCTGCCAGATGCGTGTGCAATCCCAGCCCGCAAAGCAGCTGCATCATGTACGCTTGTTACTCCTACAGCCACCCTGCATCAGGCCGGCTGCAGCGTCGCTGGCGCTATGGTGGAATTGTGTGTTCGCTCCAAGTGCTATCACCGTCGCGAGCACTCCAAAGCAGGTGCACGCGAATGCCAGCACAGCAGGCCGGGCACCTGGACACAGCTATACGAGTGGCTGCATGCTGGCCGTCGGCGGCTTTGGCGCCACATCTGCGCATGCTTGTGAGCAGGCGTGCGCGAGCAACCGCGCACATCTCCACACGCGGGCAAGGTGAAAGGGCGCGCCTGCCGAACAAGTTCTATTCATAACGGTTTAAGAAAAACCGTGCGCGCAAAGGCAGGGGGGCGGGCTGCGGCCGCCGGTGCCGGCGCGCCAGGAATGGTAACGGCAAGTGGACCGATGCATGATGGTGACCTGTATCTATCACAAGTGCATTTCTTGCGCTGTGCCTGCTTGATATGAAGCACTTGGTCAGCGGCCTCATTCCTGATCTGGCGCTGACAAGCCCCCGCAATCTTCGACATTCGCAGAGCGGCGTCTGCAATCAAAAATCAGCCGGCAAGGGCGCGGACTGCACCGCAGCCCAAAAGCACGCCGCTGCTCCCCGCCCGCGCCCAGGGACTGTGGCGCAGAAGCGCCCGGGAGCGTGCAGCGCACGTGTGTAAGCGAATCGGACGTGCGACCGACTGAAATCAAACAAAGGCGAGCATTGATGCTGCGAGTCAGCCCTTGCCACGGCCAACATTGTGGGACTGTGCGGCGCTGGGCGCGTGCCGTGCTGGGGCTGAGGAGGCCGGGGAGCGCTGCAGCTGAGAGGATCGACAAACCGCCTGCTGGGCGGCACCAGGCACAGGGGAAGGCTCACAGCGCGCAAGCGCGGGAGGCAGCTGCCGAAACGGGCACGCCCTTTTGAGTGCGGCCGGCGGGGGAGCCACTCGCATGCACGTGGCTGCCACAGGAGCTGTGAGAATGAGGTGGTGGGGTAGGGTAGCATCATGCTGCTCATTCAATACGCAGTTCGACGGTGAGCACAGTCGAGACGCGGAGCGCAGGTGCCGGCACTGTTGCGAACAAAAAAAGCACAAGTCAGGGGCAGTTTGTGGCGACCGGCCGGGGCGGCCCCGCGCGCTCTGGCGAGTTGACGCCAGCGACAGCAGCAGCAAGGGACGAAGCCGGCGCAGGCCGGCGGCACGTGCTTGGATGCCAGCGGCGCACGCAAAGAAGGAGGAGACAGCAGTGGATCGGCAGCAAACAAGGCGCCGGGCGCGGCTCAAAATCGGCCGCTGCTGGGTGCTAGCCAGCGAGGGCTGGCAGCGTGGGTAGGGGTAGGGCACATGGTGGCGCCCACAGGCAGCGCCTTACAAGCAGCGGGGCACGGGGGCATGCATGCCGAACAGCAGCGCGCGGTTCGCCTGTGCCTGCTGGAGGTGCGCCGCCAGCAGCCCCTGCCGCGGCGGCGCGCTTTGCCCCGGCGCACGGCCGCGCGGGGCCGCCACGGCCCCCGCCGCCGGCCCGCAGCCGCCGCTGCCCCAGGCGGCGGCGCGGCGGCCCTCTGCCCATGACGCCGACGCGCCTGGCCGCCTAGGCACAACGCCGCCCGCCTCCTCATCATCCTCATCGTCCTCATCAAAAAGCGTGCTCACCCCGCTGGCCGCCCCGGGGCTGCCCGGCCCGGGCGACGCGCCATCCAACCGCAACGGACTGCTGCTCCCACCCGCGCTGCCCGACGCGTAGACGATCGACGCATCGTCGTCGTCGCTGCTGCCGCCAATGGCGGCGTCGGCGCCGCTCGCGCAGCGGCTCTGCTCGTGCGCCGCTTTAGGCTCGCACGGGTAGCTGGGGCCGCCGCCGGCAAAGCGTCTGAGAGCCGCTGCTGCTGCTGCGGCGGCCGCGCCGGTGCTCACAGAGTCTTGCTGTGTCTCGGAAGGGGCCGCCGCGCAGCCCTGAGCGGCTGCGGCGCGCTGTGCGGGCAACACCGTCCCGCCCGCGCCGAGCCGCGGCGGCGCCTGGGCCGCGATCGGCAGCAGCGCCTGCCCCAGCGGCGGCAGCGCGTCGAACCCCACTTGGGCCCGCAACGGCTGCTGCACCTGGCGCCTGGCCGCGACGCCGCAGCTGCTTGCGAAGCTGCTGGCCACACCGTCGGACGGCCTGCTCGCCGCCAGCCCTTGCACAACACGGCCGCCGCCACCGCCGCTGCTGCGCAGCGCCGCCGCGCCGTCCACGCCGCTCGCGCTGCCCGGCCCCCGCCCGTACGCAGCCGAAAGGCCGGCCGCTGACGCCGGGGCGGCCGACGAGGCTGGCGACGACTCCGGCGCCGGCGCGGCGCCCCCGGCCGGGCTGCTGCAGCGCGCCACGAACGACGCGACCTCCGCCTCGGGCGCCCCCTGGGGCGGCACCTGGATGTCCACGAATTGGTCAGACATCCACCGGTTGATGGTCGCAGCCCAGCCCCTCCATGGCGGGCAGGGGCGGCCTGCCTCAAGGAAGGCGGTCTCCACCTCCTCGCAAAGCAGCTGCACCACGGGCTGCATCTGGCAGGGCATGCCGACAAACACGGGCGGCAGCGCCTCCCAGACGGCGCTGGGGGGCGAGAAGAGGAGGGCGCGGGCGTGGGGAGGAGGGGGGCGTCGGGGCGCAGCTGCACGGGGTGGCGGGAGCGAGACGATCCCGCTGCTGCGACGGCGAGGCCAGCCCCCAGCAGCACGTTTGCGACTCGGCCGCAAACGCACAAACTGCAGGCACGCGGGGCGCTGGGCGGCGGCGGCGGCGTGTGTACCTGTACTGCGGGCTCATGGCGGCAGTGCGGAAGAGGTCTCTGAAATGTGGGTCCACTATGTACTCCACCCCCATTTCGCTGCTGGTGTCCAGCGCCACGATGAAGGCATTGTCAAAGGACTTGGTCCAGTAGGTCTTGGAGTGCAGCACACGACGCACAATCACCGTGTAGCCACGGCGCGACAGCGCGAGCGCGACGCGCGCAACGTCGGCACTGCGGGACGCGGCGGACGTGCTCGGCGCGCCGCCGGCCGGGTCGGCCAGGGGCGGCGGGCCGCTGCCGCCGGCGCCGCTGCCGCCGCCGCTCGGCCGGGGCCTGCTCCGGGCGCTCACGAGGGCGGCCATGGCGCTGGAGGCGTCGCTCTGCAGCTTGTGCTCGAAATAGGTCGAGAGGGAGAGCAGCACAGACACCTGATAGGCTGTGGTGGCCCGTGGGTCCGGCGCCGCCGCCGACGCTGTGAAACGCCGCAGCGCCGCCGCCGCACGGCGCCCATGCCCGCTGCCTTCGTCGTCGCCCGTTGTCAGTACAACGGCCGCGCCGCGCGCATGGATTGTCGCATCGACACGCTGCGTCACAGCGGCGCCTTCTGCCGCCTCCTCAAGCGCAAATAGTGCGGTGCCCGAGCCTTCGCTGCTGGTCGTGCTACGGTGGCTTGACTCTACCGTTAACGCTCTTCCCGTAGCCGTTCGCCGCGAGAACGTCCGTCTCAAGCCTTGCAGCATAGCTGCTCCAGCGTGGTGGGCAAACGCCCGTGCGGGGCGTCAACGGGCCAGAATTAGGGGTCGATGTTTCAGTTATTGTGTGATAGAGCTTCACGGAAGGCCTCGTCCACTGTCACAGGAGCATGCCAGGGCGGACCCCTCGGCGGAAAGGGCCAGGTGCCCGCTCCCGTGGCACACAGAGAGGTCCAGGGACGAGCTGCACAAAAAATGACTATTCGCCGGTGAATTGCATGAAGTATGCGAGAGTTGTCAACCGCCCCCAAGGGCGCGAAAAAAGCGCTCTTCAGCTTGACGACGATAACGTTAACCCCAGGATGGGATGAACGAGGCAGCAAATTTGATAGAAGGTGAAGATCTTACAAAGCCTCATAACAGAGTTTGCGGGCGGCTGCACGTGGCTCACACCAGGGTGACTGACGCTGACGTGTGCCGATCACATGGACCTTGCACAAGTGGACAAGTGCCTCTTATGCCTTGTCAGATGGATGTTTTCTGGGCGCTTTCTTCAAGTTCCTGTAGTTGCAGCAGCATTCCGATGCAATAATGCAGCTGCCGAGCGCATGACATCACTGGCAATGGTGAGGTGGAAAAAAACCCATGTCTCACAGGGGGAGAAATGCCAACAATCCGATGGCGCTGAGCTACCGTCCCCATATGCCTTCAGATACCTCAGCCTCCGACATAAATCCTGACAACAACGACAAGCTCAAGCAAATATTCACTTGGAGAGAGCTGCATGCATTGCGCTCGTGCGAATGCGTCATGTGCTGGTGTGCATGGCTGTGCGTGCGAATGTGGCTCAACAAATGCTTACGGGGCAGTAGAAGACTTAAAATGAGATGTGAGAGACGGGACCAAGGCTCTGCGGGCAGCCCGTGCACTTTGCGGCCTGAGAGAGTGGCCCAGTGAGCGGGTGGCCCGAGTCGGTCACAGCGCCTGATGCATCTGCGTGTGCTTGACGAGGCAAGTGGGGGCAAGGGACTGCAGTCGGACTCACATTGCTTTTTTTCATGACGTGTGTGTGTGTGTGTGTGTGTGTGTGTGTGTGTGTGTGTGTGTGTGTGTGTGTGTGTGCGTGTGCGTGTGCGTGTGCGTGCGCGTGTGCGTGTGCGTGCGCGCGCACACACTTGAGCTCCGCTGCGCATCGTCGCTGAGAGATCTGGGTGAACTTTGATTTGGGCGGCTTTTGTGATACAGTCACGGCATCTGCACATCTTTTCGTCAATGCAGACTCCACCGGTACTTGCAGCTCTGCATGGCTTTGACCAGCAACACACTGTTCACGCAGCGGCAGTGCATCGTGAGTGCAGTTTGTGCCGGTTTGTCAAAAGTGAGGCGTTTGTTGGGAGCTTTGCAGGCTTGTTCTTTTCATGTTTTGACAACCTCGTGGCATCAGGGGTGGGATTCGCAGGTTGTTACAGAATGACAGGTACAATTGAAGGGTTGTCTAGTTTTCATCAGCCTCGAAATGGTGGTGGTGGACAAAGCAAGGGCAGCTTCTCGCTGCGCACGACCAAGCTGCTGATCATAATTCTTGGTTAACCCCACTGGCACTCTCGATTGTGGTAGGTAAAACTCCTCAAGAAAAGACACACGTCCTGTCTAGATAACACTGCAGCCCGCAGACCCCTCTGACTCTATCCAGGCCTCAACAGCCACGACGTACTCGTGTGCGCTGTGCCGCTCGCGCTTGCCGCTTGGGGGTGGATATGGCACGCTGTCCCCTGCTGCCTCAAGCCAGGAACCGTTGTGTTGAGCGCTGCCGGCAGGGTGCAGCCAAGCATCCGTGTTGTCTGCACCCCAACCTTCCCCCGTGCCTGCATCGCTGCTTTCCTTTGCGCGGCTGCCGCTGGAAGGCTGGTTGGCGTTCCTCTCGTCAGCCCAGCCCCCGCCACTGTAGCTGCTGCTCGCACACCAACCGCCCCTGCCACCTGCATCCATGCTGCCGCTTTCACCGGCGCCAAAGGCTTCGCCACAGCTGCTGGACGCCGTGCTGGCGCCCGAGCTTTCTAGATGGCTGCTGAGGGTGCCGCCGCTGCCCGCGTCGCTGCAGCTGCCCGCGTCGCCACTGCTGCTGCCGCTGCCGCTGCTGCTGCTCCTCCACCTGCCCGCCAGCCAGCTGCCCGTTAGGACCTCGCTGCCGCCGACACTGGAGGCGGCGGCCTCCCCGCCCCACGGGCTGCACACCCCCACGACGCAGCTGCTGGGCAGGGATCTGTAAGGCAGGACCGCCGGCACGCTGGGCGGCTGCCGCGGCACGCCGTCGCCCTCGTTTTCAAATACACGCGTCACCTGCCCGAGGGCTGAAGCATAGTGCTCCACCCATGACGCATCGCCGATTTTCGGCGCCCCGAGGGCAAAGACGCCAGCCACAGGCACCTGCATCTCCCGCTGTAGCTGCACGGCTGCCAGCTGTGCAAAGGCGCCGCCGAGGGAGTGACCTGCAAAGTACAGCCACGGCGACGCTTGTGTGCGGCCGCGGGTGATTGCCGCACCAAGGGCCTCACGTATGCGGGCGCGCAGCTTGGGGATGGCCCCCTGCAGCGAGTCCCACCATGCTGCGTGGACGCGCACCCAAACGTCCCCCTCCTGTTGCGGCTGCTGCTGCTGCTGCTGCTGCTGCTGGTGCTGCTGCTGCTGCTGGTGGTCGTCCTCCTCCATATCCGCCCGCTGCACCTGCTCGCCACCGCGACCGCATGGCAAGGGTGCAGGCAGGCGCACGGGCCAGAGCCAGCAGCACCGGTTCAGAAGCCGCTGAAGCGAGCCATCCGTCCCTCTGAACACAACCACTACACAGCCGTCGCACATGACCAGGACTGCCGCGTGCAGGCGCGCTGTGTCGATGAATGTGGCGCCTTGGACGGCGGCGCCCCACTTGTGCATGAAGGCGTGCTGATAGACGGGTGCAGATGCGGCTGGGTCGCAAACGTTTTTGGGGTACATGTCCCGCGAGAGCGCCGCCGCAAGAGGTGCCACGGCATGCAGCGGCGGCGGCGTGGGTGACAAACCCACCGCTGCCGCCGCTGCCGCCACAGCCGAGGCTGAGCTAAAGGGTGATGCCGGTACAACCTTGATTGTCATTCCTCTTGCTTCTGATTTCGCATCTGTCGCATAAGTGTCCAGTACCGCACATGGAGATGTGGAACGAGGTGAGAAACGCACCGCAGCCCCCAATCAGCCACAAAATACAGTCGTTTGGGTCTCTTTGCACTCAAGCTAATGCTGCTGTTTGCGAGTGACACGCCCGTGGCACTTGCTGCAACGATTCCTGCGCACCTGCGAGTGTATGTCTTATCTGAGGTTCGCTGAAGCTTTGAAACTACGCAAAAGTCATATTTTGAGCCTCAACTCCCCTAGCTTGTGGGCACGCGGCCCTCCCGCCAACGAAGCCATAGGATGTATCGCCATCAAGAGCAATGGGTCTTCGTCGATGCTGTGATGCTATTCAGACAGAACATTCAACTTTTTCAAAAACCTGCACAGCTAGCTTCTTGCCAGTGGAGTGCTGTGAATCAGCGTAACCCAAGTGGGCACGTGCAGCTGCAGTGCCTCTGCATGAAGGTGGGTGGCAGCAGGAGGCACCTCCGGGGCAGGTGGTGACAATGCGCATGCTGTTGTTGTGCAACAACCGCCGAAATTGTGACAGATTGTAGCGGTAGAGGGCTGGCAGCCGCGGACGCCCACCTTGACTGTTGCCCTGCTTTGCTTGGCAGCACGCCTCCTCCAGGACTCCTGCTCAAACTCAGCCAAAGACTCCATTACCTGGCAAGATCGTCACCACAAATCACGATGGGCGATGGAGGCTCGTAAACGTTTCCTATCGATTTCCCAGGGCAAATCATATGGAGTGAAGTAATTGGCAAGATTGCGCTGTGTGAGTCGTTCTTGGCAGAGCCAACCTGCTGCATGCCAAAAGCTATGCACTACTGCCTTGACCCGCGGAAAGCTCCTGAGAAGCGTACTGCCTACCAACAAATTCAAAGAACAAGCCAGGGCGTGCAGTTGAGTGCGGAAACGCAGCAATCAGCTGTGTTTGCAGTCGCCGTGCGTGCCGGCAAAGTTGCAGTGCTCAATCCACTGACATGCAGCGTTGTGTCGTGCAACGGCCAGGCTTGCAACAAGACTGGCAGCAAACAATCAAAAAATTGTGTCAACCAGTGGAGGACTGATTATGTGACTGACTTGGAGGGAATCTTGACACAACTTGGTAAGAACGAGGCCCCTGAAATTGCGCTATCTTGATTGCGTGGAGCAGGCACCAGCCGAGAGAAACCACACCGTGATCGTCCGTTCTGGATGCATGACAGACTACGCGGCCGACCAACGGACCAGAGGTGTGCGCTGCTACCCTGTCGGTCAAACCTGGGAGGCATCCTGACGATGCTGCCCTGCGCCGGGCTCGCCAGCCTGGGATGCCCTCGCCCATGTTCGCCCCACCAACTGCGTGGCATGCTTGTGCACGTACTTGGCGTGGCGGTGCACTGCGAAGACGGCCAGCAGGAACGCGCCTGCCGCCATGGCCAACCCCAGCAGCACCCACAGGCCGGCTACCTGTGGTGGAAAATGTGTGGCTTGCGTCTCTGGGGCAATGCGTCTCTGGGGCGACTGAAGAGCAGCAGGTCCGCGGCAAAACTTTGAGCAGTCTAAAAAGATGGCTAACCGGGCCGGCGCTCAGCACGGCACACGAGCTTGCCGGCAACAGCTGACGTCAACAGGCCAGCCGCGCCGCCCACCTGCTCTGGCGTGACTTGCGTTAGCGATGATCCCCCGGACTGCGCGTCGCCGCAGCCGCCGCCCTGCGGAGGTTTACGCAGGGTCAGCGGAGGTTTGAATGAGAATTGTGGGGGAAAATGCCTACTGCTCAGAAAGTGCTTCATGAGTGCGGTACTGCATGCAGCTCCCGCCAGAGCCGTGACCGGACCTGCGGCAAGCCCATGCGCGAGTGACTCCAGGGTGCTGGTGCAGGAAGCACGGCCCAGCGTGGCTCGCACCGCCTGGCGGCAAAGCAGCTTCCACAAGCCAGCCAGTGCGAGCTGCTGTTGCTGGCCGCCTGGTTGGCATCACCTGGCCGCCACATGCATCCCCTAGACGAGACCCCACCTGCTTTTTGACGGTCACGTCATATATGCCTTCAATGATACCCTCGTCTATGATGGCTGCAATGCGCCTGATAGTTGTGGGAGCGCGGCGGCGCAGCGCGGAGCGCTAACGGCACACCGCAGGCATCCATGTCACCGTCGCTGCGCTGCCCCAGCCCTCAAGGCTGAAAGAGATTGGGTCATGGTTGTGAGGCGGCTTGAGCGTTGTCCCCGTGCCACAACGGCGGTACGTTTCACCCACACCCCAGCAGCGAGCCATCCGGCGGCCATGCATTTCACATCAACCATGCCGCACCTGTCCAGGCTTTGCCGAAGCACTGGGCTGAGTTTGCTGGCGTACCCGATGCCGTAGTCCGTCATTGCAAATTGGTCCCCCACCGTCTCAAACTCGCACTGGGTGGAGGCCACCCAGTTTGCAAAGCTGGCGGTGGTGATGAGCGCCTGCAGCTGGCCGCTGCGCAGCATGTCCAGCATCTGCTCCTCGTCCTTGTCGTTCTCCCTGTTGGGTTTCAAAGGAGCGAGGTTCGGGGCTGGATACCTTTGAAGCGCACAGGCCAACCTGCTTGGTAATACATGCACGACCTTTGCCGCTGCAGCTTACAGTGCTGGAACTCGCAAGAATGGCTGCTTGCCGCGAGTTGGGTGCACCTGCAAGGCGGGGGCCCCCCTCTGCGGCCCTCCGCGCGCCGCGCACCAGGGCAGGGGGATGGCGGCCACCCCGAGGGCGCTGACCCTGGGTATGGACTCGTCCCACACGCCCACGGCCTTCCCCTTGAGGTCGGGCAGCCCCCTGATGTCAGAGTTGATGCGCGCTGTCAGCAGCGCCGCGGAGTTGGCTGAGGCGTGGGGGGTGGGGGGACGGGAGGAAGGGGATGGGAGGGGAGAGGACACTTGTGGGTCCTGGGACAAAATCTAGGGAGCCAGCAGCCGCACGATGCATACCAAGCACACAAGATCTGATACAGGGGAAGGGGAATCATGGTCACCAAATCAGCATTGAACCCTGGTTCATCAACGAGATGACAACTTGATTCAGGGGCGCAGCCTCATTAAAGGCCATTGTCGAGTTGAGCGGTTGGAGGGGCCTACCGGTGTAGATGGCGATGAGAATGAGCAGCAGGAGGCCGTACGCCCACAGCACCACCCTGGACGGCAGCGACTCTGCCGACTGCAGCACAAGGGTTTGATGGGGGAGCTCGGCTGTCGTCGGTGCTTGGGCGACTGCCGGCACATTCAGGGTGCCAGGCAGTTGTGAGATGGACGTTGGCGAGCAGGGGGCTCGGCCCAGCATGTCGAGCGCTTGTGCGAGGACGTTGGAAAGTGTCGTCAAGCAGGCAGGCCTGCGGGGCTGGCGGAGCGGCACACAAGTACGCGGCGCAGGCCGCAGCAGGGCGTGCCTAACTCTGCACCCACCGGGGCATCCCCGATGTCTGAGAGCCGCAGCAGGGACTGCGTGAGGTTTGACTCTGAGGGGCGTTTGACCAGCAAATTGGTTGAGATGCTGAGAGGCGGGGCCAGAAGGCAGCTTTGCTGTGAAAGCGCACCCAGGGTGGTGGATCATGACAGCGTCGGACAAAAACAACCGAGTTCCCCGCTCAGCGAATCACAGGTTTGCACCAGTGACTCAAAGTGCGCCACTGAAGACGTGACCCCGCTCCCTGTGCCGTTCAGCGACGCACGCACACCAGCCAGTGGCACCTCCATGCCATGAGTATGTGGCCACTTACTCAGGTTATTCACAGCCGCCTTCTCCTCGCCCTCACGCACGCCCAGCCAGCCCAGGCAGCTCGCACTGCGCCGGGCGCCCTCCTCGGCCGCCGCGTGGCCGTCGACTGCTGCTAGAGCAGGCGCCGCTGCACCTGTGGCATCGATGAAGCCATTCTGCTCCTGCTGCCCGGCACGGTCCTCCTTGGTCACTAGCGCCTCCTTTACCACACCACCATTGACGATTCGAGTGGCCGGCGCGTCTTGCCAGCCTAGCGGCGTCTCGCCCTTCGATCGTGCGTGTTGGCGGCCGCGGAAGAGGCCAGCGAGGCCGAGACGGCCGTGCCGGCCGGCAGCCGTCTTCGGTCTACGCGCCTTGGGGGGCGGCTTGAGCAGGGTGCGAGCCCGCTGGTCAAACAGCCACAGGACGAAGCCCACGAGCAAGCTGGTGCAGAAGATGAGCAGCCACAGGGGCCCAGAGAAGACCGTGAGGGGCGCCCAGAGGTTGGCTTGGCGGTTTCTGGGGACCGTCAGAATCTTGAGCCCTGCGGGATTTGGCCGAGGGGCCGCAGGCTTGATATGATGGGGCAAGACCTGGCCTTACCTTATAGGAGGCGCGGCACAAGTGGGCTGCCCGCTCCAGGGGATGAACATGGTGCTGCGTGGGGCGCCCCAGCCCCCAACTTTATCAATTTCACGGTCACACTCCTGCGAATCCCGGGGATCCTCACCCTCTTTGTCTGTAATCCACGAGACCGACGCGCCCGATGCAAACAGCTGGTTGCTTGGAGGGATGCCGGCCGGCGCGAGCATGCAGGTGCCGTTTGGGCTGACAAGGTCCTGCATCAGCGGCGTCCACAGGATGCAGTCAAGGAACCACGAGTCAAAGTCGCTGAGCCAATCCACGCGCTGAGCAATGGCGCGGAACATCTCCACCTGGGTGGTAGCGGCGGCGGCGTGAGCGTTGCAGTGGGTGCGGGCGCGGGTGTGCATGCGCGTGTCAGAAGCGACATGTGAGAACATCATGATAGGCCTCATAGCACCTGCAACGGCAGCAGCAGCAGCAGCAGCAGCAGCAACGGCAGCAGCAGCAGCAGCAGCAGCAGCAGCAGCAGCGGCAGCAGCAGCAGCAGCAGCAGCAGCAGCAGCAGCAACAGCAGCAGCAGGAGCAGCAGCAGCGGTCACAAGGGCAGCAGCAGCATCGGCTTGGCGGTAGCCACGCACCACACAAGACCAGCACGACCTGCAAACACCCAATGGCATCAACAGCCGTCGCCACCATCACAGCTGCGTACCAAGTAGCCAGAGTAGCTGTCTTGTGGCTGGTCCGGTTTGCAGAAGCAGTACGGGGTGTAAGGGGACGCGCACACGCGAATCCTGCAGCGCCGGCGCACCGGAGGGGGGCGCGCCGTCAAAGCCGCACTGCCGCTTGTCATAGCACCCTGCACCTAACAGGCAAATCTGGAGCATGCGCCTGTCGTTACATGCACCGGCTGGCGCGCAGTCGGCATGCAGGGCCGAGCCGCATGCTGCGCGGCAGGCTGGTGACGATACCGCCTCGCGAGCAGACCGCCTCGCGAGCAGCCCGCGCAATGCCGCGTTGCGAGCTTGGCGCCGCCCAGTGCCGCAGAGATCCCCTCTGCGCTCCCGCACAGCTCACCTGCCCGCCATGCTTGGCCGGCCGATTGCCGCCGCCTGGGCCGGCGTGAGGCGCCACTTGTCGGCCAGCGCCTGCAGGTCCGTGGCGTTCTCACCGGGTGCCGCCGCGGTGGAATTTGCCGCACCCGCTCCGCGCAGTGGAAAGACGGGAGGTGCGGTGCCGGCGGCAGCTGTGCTGGCAGGGGCGCCCTCTGCGACACCCGGGGGCAGTGCTGCTGCTGCTTTCACCACCACCAGGGCGGCCACTGCAGCAAGCAGCGCGTGCGGACGTGGCGGCGAGCTCCATCGCCGCCACATCCTCAGCCCAACGAGGGTGGGAGGTTGAGCGGCGCTTTAAGTTCTTCAAATGAATGTCGATGCTCTCGAAGACGCCCCAGGTGTCCAGGTAATGCAGGGACGCTTTGTCCAGACCTACGGGGTTACTATACGGCAAACGCGGAGAATCACGGTTGACAATATTTGACCTTGTATTTCAGTGGCAGGTCCCGCGCTGCCGTTGTCCCAAGAGCCGTTGCACCTCGCCGGTCATCAGTGACGAGTGCTCTTGATGGATTTCACACAGCAGCAGTGCGCAGCAGTGCGCAAGCAGACTGTGCTGCCGCGCCCGTTCAAAGGTGAAGCCAACATGACAATGCGTCCAATCGATTTTACCGGCTTCACCCGTTTGCCGCAAGTCGCCCATGCGGCGAAGCGGCCATCAGCCAACACTAATGGCCGCTGCAGGGACAGAGTGGGCGACTCGAGCGCACAGCTTTCTGCCTGTGCTGCCCAGCGCCATGCCGCCAAAGCGCCGTGCAGGGTGCGTGTGTTTACAATTGATCGTGTTGGGTGGCGCGTGTGTGGATTGCAGGCAAACGGCGTATCGTCAAACCCTGACCGCAGCAGGCAGGAGCGATTGCTGTGCGCACTGCACGATGATGCTGGCACATCCCCGTGTCACACTCTGGAGCGTATGAATAATTCACTGTACAGGCCTCGATACCATCACAAACCAATACAGCCAGTCACTAGAGACCAGCATGCAGACAAGTGTGTGTGGAGGACAAGCCCGGCCAACACCAAGGCCGGTTGGGACAGCTCAAGGAGAACACTCCGCTGGCCTGGACCCTCGGCGCAACTCAACTCCAATCTGCTGGACCAATAAGCGATAGGGTGGATCTACCCTTACCATCGCGCAGCAGACTGGCCCAGGATTAGCGTGGCGCCGCCCTGTGCTGTGGTACAAGGCCCCGCCCAGGCCTCTAGCGGTTGTGACGCGCGCACGGCCCCCTGCAGCACCGGCCGCAGCACCCGAAGCCGCACGCCGCTGCCGATGGGTTCAGCTGGCAGTCCACACACACGCGACCCCCAGGAGGCACCGCGTGCTGCGCCTGCTGCACCCCAGCCTGCTGCTTCTGCTGCTGCTGCAGCCGCTGCCGCATCAGCTGTTGCTGCTCCTGAGCGTGCGCCCGCGCCTCGACGGCGGCCCTGATCCGCGCCATCGCCACCTCTAGGCTCTCCCCGGCGCCGCCCGCAACCCCAGCGCCGCCAGCGCCCCTCCGCTCCGCCTCAACATACGCC